CTACTATTTGGGAACCTATCTCAACGCTAGGCATAACAGCAACACCCCGTGCTCACAACACTATTCTACTAAGACCGCCAGCCGTCGGCGTGACGCCTATAGCTACTACAGACTTCTCATGGGGTCTACAACCCCCCCCTTCCTTGGCGTCGCTAGCCCCCTCAAACCAACAATCTAACCAGCCATCCATTATGAATGGCTCGATCAGCCACGACAACCCTTAAATAGAAATGTTTACGACATGCGGCAGCGTAGCAATCCGTCAGCTGTATCCCAGGTCAGTTCCTGCAACAACAGTCCTAGCTACGGTTGCGGTAAGAGGGTCAAAAATTCTGCTGATGACAAACCGTTTTCCTAAACAGATTAGACCGACTCTCCTCACTATGCCAAAAACCCGTCAGGGGCACAGCCGGATGTACAACAACGTGCGCCCAACGGTGTGTACAGCCACACGTATAGCACTGTACCCTGTGCTCACCAATACGAGCTGTAGTGAATATTGTGGTCACCGTTAGTTCGACCAGATTCTGCACACAGAAAAACCCCAAACATACCTACATGTAAAAAAATAAATTAAAAATAAATAAATAAATAAATAAATAAAATAAAATAAATAAAAACGGAGAGACTAAATTTTGTTGTGGTCAGTCAGCTAGGCAATTACCAGCGTGTGGGGGGGGGGAATGATGGCGACGAGGCTCAAAAGGAAACGGGCATCACGTTTATGGCATCCGCTCCACCGTTCTCGTCACCATCTGACAACGCAACTGTTGCCTGCTACTCACTAAATGTGTAATTTGAGAGTGGTCCTTTTACAGCCAACCAACACAATCAAAAATTTATAAAAAAGTAGTAAGGGAAAAGAAACAGAAATAAGGATCCACTACCACATAGGAGAGTGAATCTCCCACTAGAAAGTGGGCGGGTGCATTTTCCCCACATAGAGGTGCGTTCCTCCTTCCCGCACAGCCTCTCTCTCTCTCTCTCTCTCGCACCTACTCCATGGATGAATCTTACATCTATTACGGCCAGATTCAACCAAACTTAGAGAGAAACTAAGGCGTTGGTATACAAACTACGACCGCGGTGGAACCCGAAACAAAGGCGGGGCATACCTTCAAGGGAAGACAGTCACTGCGTCTCCCTCGCAACACTTACGGAAGATGAGCGAAAGGAAGAGTAAATGAACCTCCCACTAAAAAGTGGGGAGATACACTACCTTTTTCTCGATAGCCATGAAGTCCTTCTCTTTGCGCAGCTGTTAACATTCGCATTATAAAAACTAACCCCCTACTACTAATTCTGACCCCGCCATCGCGCTCACAGTTGCCCGAAACCCCAGTTTAGCATCCTCTCTTGCTCAAATCCGCTGAGAATTGACCAAGTTATGCAATTTTCACTTCCCTTCTTTTTTTTTTCTTCTCCCGCGACTCTCCCGCGCGCGATTTTCCTTCCTAGCTCCTACGCCTCTAACCCTCCGTTCAACCTGACTGCAGATTAGAAATCGCCTTACAAAAAGACTCTCCCCTGCTACCTTCCCTTCTCAAATCTGCCATAGATTAAGTGTGGCGTGACCCCTCCTTCTCTCCTTCGCCATCTCCCTGCTGTCTTCCCGTTTTGCACTTTTCCCCTCCCTCCTGCACCTGCACCCAACGCAGAAGCCCGTCCATATTCGTGCACTTTTCTGTTCTTCCCTGTTCCCAGTTTACTCCCTCTCAGCGCCCGTTCCTCCTCGTGCGCTATCGTGCACTACAGCAGAGCATGCTGGTACCAATCGGGCGCCCTGGTTGAGAGCCCGATGTCGACTAAGGAGTATGCGACCACTCCCTGACCAACACGAAACATCCCCGACTAGTAGTGCTGCTGCACCCCGACTTACTCTCCTGGTCGGTGTTCACCTCAACAAGCAAAGAGAGGCTCATCCTCTCTCCTTATACAAGTCAGCGTGTACGGGAGGTGTGTTAGTCTTCTCGGTAGCACTCCACTTTTAACGGATGTCTCGAAGGACTGTTCCCAGGCCGCAGTTCGTGGGTGCCCCCATCGAACTGAGCTGCTGGTCTGCGCTACAGGCCCCGATACCGGTGTCGGGCCTTGCCCATAAAAAACGAAAATAAAAATAGGAGTAAAACTTAGACCTCAGAAAATAATAATAATAATAATAATAATAATAATAATAATAATTATAAAAAAAAAAAAAAAAAAAACGGAATGGGAGGCAGGACCGGTAGTACTTGGTCCCTTTCTCCCGGGCTCGTGGCGGACTCTCCCCAACAAAACAAAGGGGAATAGTCCCGTGGGACCCTCAACCCTTTTGTTCGCTCCTGCACCGCTCTTCTGCTCCACTCTGGCCTCGATACCTGGATCCGCCTGGTGAAAACCTGATGACGTAACCTATAGGGCTAAGCCCCAGCCTAGCACTGCCGCAAGCTAAACTCATTATGAGGAGTAGTTTCCGCTGGGCCGGCCTGCAGCAGCGTACTATAGGCCATCAGTCTAACTCATTGCCTGCACCTCAAGCCCTGCAACGCCGCCCTTGGCCGCCTTGGGCCAGGGCTCCGCGCGGGCCACCACGCACGCCCGTTCCACCGCGGCATGGCGGTGTGTCAAGCCTCTCATAGCCCGCCACTAATGCCGTTGCCTAAGAATCCCTGGCTCGTGCTCTAGTTGTGCCACTCCTACTTGGCCTCAGTGGCGGCTCCTACCATCGGTAGTGCAAGGTCAACCCGGTGTCGACAAGCTTTGTACGGTGTGACCCCAAGCTGCCGGTTTTCAGTAAGTCGAGCGGCGTTCTCCTCAAGTCATAATCCTACCAAGTCGACACTATGGCGTCCAAGATCTTGCTTGTGCATGCGAGGCTACGACCGCCTCAGAAAATTTGGCTTAGCTCTGACCCGTCCTACCGGCGTCTTACGGTCCTCCCCGACCCAAACTTGGTCAGGCTAACACGTGTCCACGAAGTGCACGCCCACACACTTTTTAATAAATACAAACGGGACGCGCCCTCAGATATCGTCAGGCGCGCTCATCCTATAAGCTGCAAAACGTGCCCAAATACCCTTGTAAGGGTATTCGGGCCGACAGTTTTCCGGACCTTATTAAGCGACGTCCCCATCGCGTCGGGCAATCAGCGCTATAACCACAACCACATCCTGCTCACAAGGAAGCGACCAATCTGGTTCACCGGCTCGACTCCGTTCGAGGGTGTCTCATCAACCTACTCTCGTCACGACGTTCCACTGCTAGGATTTTAACCTGGGTCCCCCATGTCCTGGCCTCGGAGATAGGGGATACTTTGTTCTGTACTACAGCGTACTACCCGCCCCCAGGTAGTAGGTTGATAGTTCTCTTCCTTCGCCGTAGACATCTGTCGGTTCACCGTTGGGTGTCCTGTTTAGTCATTGTCCCGCGAACGGGGTCATAACTTAGGACGCGGGCCCTAACCAAGACCTCTCAACATACCTGGCGCCTCTAGCCGCCCACATGGTAGTGCTTACCATCTCAAACCACAATGAACGCCCAAACTGGAGTCTACCACAGGCGGCTTCGGGTCTCCATCTTGGCCCACCATGGAACGGTTGATCACGCCAAATCCACGGCCCACCACGTTGTTATGTAGCGATGGTGACCTCGTTGGTTACGCAACGATAAACAATTTTCCCTATCTTGGCACCCCAAAGGGTCCTGACTCTTTGACCTAGTCGACCCCAATGGCCTTCCCTCTGGCTAAACCTCTCCGGGTGGCCGGCCCTTCAAGACTTAACCTTCGGTAAGTCATGGTCCCGCTGCTAGGTTGTGTCGGTCAACGGCCCTCGCTGGGAGTTAGGTTCTACAGTTCCAGCGATGCTAAGTCTAACCCCTTAGCCTGGCCTCACAATACGTCCCTTACACTAACCCATATGGTCTGGCACTTTCTCTCACAATAATAATCAAAGGATCACATACCACCGTCGACGGGACTACGTGGAGGGATAGTGCCTTTCTCAATATTCCACCAAAATCCTCAATAATTCCACAGGGTCGTGCCTCCCTTACTCTGATCAGAAGCAGGTGAGGTCACGCGTCTTTTTAGGGATACAATATTTTCATAAAATACCTGGTCTTTCCTCGTCAGTCTTTTACATACACACAAACATTATCATCACTTATAGCAACTCTTTTGAGCGCTCTCACAAAATTTCATCCTTTTAAGAAAGTTCAACTGGTCATTGGACTCCCTTCTCTCTTTCATAAGCCATACACAAAAAGCACAACCTTGGTTGTGACCTTTCCATTCATCATCTTTCCATCTGTGCAAAGGGTATCATATCATCATTCTTTCAATACTCTGAGAGCACTGTCTTCCACCATACTATGGGCTCCAGTTGTCCATAGGACAGGGGTGCGCAAGTATAGTGAAAGAAAGCGCAGATCAATCCTCTCTGCAACATTCACTTTATCACACCATCATCCCTATGGGCAAGTCCACAAACCGAGAGTGAGTGTGACACACCATACATAACACAGAGACAAAGGTTGAGACTCACATATACACTCAGGACATGGGGCCTTGCAACGAACAAAAGCTCCTGTCCTTATCACAAAAATCAAGGTTATTATACAAAAGGTACAGGTATCCAACAAAAGTTATGGTACCCAAGCGCCGAAGTATCCAAGACTCGACAGTCGCTCCACACACACGGGGTTTACTTAACAAGGGTATTAACACTCTGCGTCACCTCGACAGAAGAAAATGCAGTCAACTCCTACTCAGTTTTATCTTACGTACAAAGAAGGTCTTCAAGTTTATAATGCGATATAACACCTCATTAGTGGCCCAACTCACTGATGTACATGGGTCTGATCAAATCCTCCAAGTATCCCTCTATATACAAGTAACCATCAGTCGGTGAGTCAGAGACGTCTCGCATATACCAGACTTAGGCCTTTCCGAACCTTATTAGAAAACCCTACTCCTGACCACTCATGACCTTCTGAAACTGCCTATACAGCTGCGCCCTCACCACATCACGACCCTTATGAACTTGGAGTCCATTCTTATCTATCCACTTCCCCGATGACTCCCTGGTGCCTAGTCCAGCGGCCTCATCTTTCAGGCTCTTCGGACAATCGTCAACCCGATGTTCGCCTCTCTTACAATAGAAACATTTCCCAGTCTTCTTCTGTATCGTCTTCTCCTCTTCCTGCGAGGGTATTGATGGCAGGACTGTCGTGATCTCGCTCGTGACCTCCTGCTGAGGGGTCTCTGATGGAATGGGGCAGACGACTCTATCTCCTTCCTGTATCACTGGACCACTCACCCGTGCCTCTGATCCAGATCCAGTGGCCCATGAGCCCAACGCCTCCTCCAAACCTGCAACCATAGGCATATCCTGAGGTATAATAGACTCCTGGCAGACCCCCTAACCTGCTCCCTGCTCAGCCTCAACCTCAACCCTCTTAACCACCTGCTCCTCAACAACCTCCTGGGCGATAGGCAACATCCTCTCATCCCTCGCAGTTTCTGCCTGTTGTGCCGCACCAAGTCCCTCATGAGCCCGTTGGAGTGCCACGATAGAGGGCATCTGCCACTCAGATTCTTCACCATTTGCCTCCTCCTTTGCGCTCACTTCCTCAGGTTGCAGCATCTCCTTGTCCAGCAGAGGTACATCCTCTCCTTCCTGTAGATCAGCCTTCTCCTCCACTCTGTGGCTCTTGAAGGTGTCTTCTGCAGGCAGCCTCTTCATCTCGAACCCCTGGACCTCAGTCCAGTCCACCAAGGTCGTGGGAGTTCTCTGCTCAACCTTTGTTTCTAGCTCCTTAATCCTCTTTTCCCACTCAGCTTCCTTTGCCTGAAACGAGGTCTGTTGAGTCTGCAGGTAGGCCCTTAGCACGTCATTACCCTTACTAAGGGTCTGGTTGACCAGTCTAATTGCCTCATTTCCTGCCCAGGCCTTTTCCAGCTCCACCTTCATCGCGTCCAGCTCACGGTCTTGCCTTTCCTGACTCTCCTTCAGGTCCTTAATCTCTCGCTCCCATTCTACCCCCTGACCATAGGCCTTCCGAGCCACCTTGGTGAGTCTCTCTCCAACCTTCTGATCTGATGCCTTGGCTGCAGCGAACCCGTCCTTCATCACTCCCTTCAGGGTGAGCAAGTCTGCAAAGACCAACTTCACCCCCATCTCCTGCTGGTGTGCTCCTGGTCCCTTTGCAGTTTCCATCAGCTTGTCAAAATTTTCCCATGCTTCTGAGAGTAAGGGAGGATCTTCTTCCTGCTGGCTGCTTACACTTTTCCCTTTTCTATCCTTTAGGTTCACTGGCCGCTCTCCCTGCTCCGTCCTCTTGTGGAGTTCTTCAAGGTTCTTCCTCCTGATTTCCGCTCTGATCTCCTGCTCTCTGGCGGATCTTTCTTGCCTTTCGAACTCCTTCTCTTTTGCAGCCTGATCCTCATCCATCTCTTGCCTGGGTGACTCGTGAGGCTCCTCTGGTCTTGCCTCTGTCATTGGCTGATCCTCCTGCCTCTGAGTAGACTGAGGAAGGGCCTCGGGTGCCTCTAGCTCTCTCCTCCTCTGCGCCCTCTCAGATGGCTACTCCTCTCTTTTCTCTGTCCTGTGGGAAGTGTGCTCTCTTCTTCTTTCTCCCTCCTGAAACCTCGAGGAGGCACCTCTTTCAAAAGTCCTCCTGCCTTCTGCCTCAGGCTCCTTCCTTTTTCTTTCCATGCTTCTTCTCTCCTCTGCCTGGCGTGTGGGAGTATAGTAGCTCCTCAATAACCGCCTGCAATCGCCACAATGCAACGCTTTTTCCACAACGCTCCTGACGAACATCCTGATAGGCCTCCTCACGAACTGGAGGAACCCTCTCACTCTGGTCTTAGGTGCAATGTTCTTCTCGTCCGCAAACCGGTCATAAGCCCACAATAACTCATCCAGGTTCGTTCCATCGAACCGGATTGACACTCCATCTCTCCCCACAGGTGATGGATGTATCCCTTCCATCTTCCTTTCGAACTCCTGCCAGGTCGCTGACTCCCGTACATATCTCGCAATGGCCTCAGCCCACTCGCCCTCTCCTCGTACCTCTCTCAGCATCCTGGTTCCATCCCATCTGAGCTCACTGGCATGCTTCTCGAACTCGGCCAAAAACAACTCCATGTTCCCTCCTCTTAAGATGGGTGGTCTGTCCTCTCTCCTGGTCCATCCTTGCACTCTCTATCTGGCTGCCCCCTCAGGGGGTTCCACTGGCCCTGCCCCTCCCTTCCCTCTTGGCATGGCTTCGCCAAATAGTGTCAAACCTGCACAACAAGGAAGAGACAAGCCAAAGCACACAGAGTGTAAGCAGGTTTGACACACAGTGAGAGACAGACACACCCCTCCCCATCTAACCTAGACGCCTATACAGGCATACACATGCATACCTACACATACATACGTACTATCATAACATCATAACCTATCATATCATTCTAATGAACGTCCATACAATTTTTCTATACTGATACCCCCATAAAAAAGACATACTTAACAAGAGAAAGAAGAGAAAGGGACTCTAACTTGTGAGGTCCAGGCGCACCTCGTCTCGAGCGACAAATTTCTTCAACCTCGAGCCTGACACCCAGTCCTTCCAAGCGGTCCCATTCAGCTCTTCGATTTGGTAGGCACATTGTTCACCACATCTGGTGACCCTCTAAGGTCCCAACCACCTCTTATCCAACTTTCGAGACCACTGCTTCTCCAGGAACGAGTCATACAACAGCACAACGTCTCCCACCTTGAGAGGCTCCTTTCTTACCCTTGCCATCTTATCCCACCGGAACTTGTCCTTGGTACGGCTGTCCTCCGTCTTACTCGCCGCTTCCTCAATCCTGTCCTCAATGACGCCGATCTGACGTGCTCTCAGATCCAGCAGTTCTTCAAACGTCAGTTCCGTCTCGAGGTCCTGCCGTCTCCAGATCTTCAGGAAGCTCTCGATAGGAAATGTAGCGTGCCTGCAATACCATAGCGTTGCTGGTGCATAACCAGTGCTCCTCCTGACAGTTATATTGTCAACGAAGAAAGCAACCCTTAAGAAGTTCGGCCACTGATTGGGCTTGCCATCGGTCCACTTGGTGAGAAGGTTAGTGATGGTGCTGTGCCCTCTCTCCATAGGTGCATTAGCTTGAGGGTGCGCTGCAGTGGTGTACTCAGCGATTATCCCATACTTCTTCAATAGAGCCTTTACCTCTGCACATGTGAACTCGGACCCTCCTTGCGACCCCGGACCTAAGTCGTAGAGGCATACCGATGACTCCTTACCTTGCCACTCATTGACTTCTTCGCACATATCAGCCAACTTCTGTTGGTATCCTTACCTTGCCACTCATTGACTTTTTCGCACATATCAGCCAACTTCTGTTGGTATCTCCCGATTTTGTCTATCAGGTCCTCCATTCTCTCCATTATCTGTCGGACCGCACTCCAATAATCTTCCCCTGTCTCAGCATGCAGTGGCCTGTTCCAACAATCTTCTTCAATCTCATCGTCGGACTCTACTATGATCGGTTTTGCCTTAGTAGTGTCGTCCTTCCTTTCTTGCTCCACCTCTGCGTTCTCTCCTACCTCCTCCACCCTGACGTCACTACGGACCTCTTTCTCCTGCCATATCTGAAACATGGCTGGAGGAGCGGGTGGTTCACCTGCCTCGGCTCCTCGTAGGGCCTCCTTCCTTGTCCCGCTTCGGATCCTTGGATCAAGGTGGTAACCCCACTTGTCGTACATATCCCCATCATAGTTGGTGCTGATTAGGCCTTCGTCCTCATCGTTTCTCCGGACATGGCAAAACTTGATAGTGTGACTTTTCTGCCCGAAGTGCCAACAAATGGCGTTCCTCCAATCTATTCTCCCCCTGCCAGCACCTCTTCCACCTTCCTGGCCACCTTGACTCCCGGATACTGTCCAACCCTCGCTTCCCCCGCCTGCAGCGTTACCACCACCATTCCCTCTGCCGTCTCCTCCCCGACCATCATTCCCCGTCCTCGGCCCCACCCTTGATTTTGTCCTCGTCCACCGCCTTGATTGCCTTGTGACCCTTGTGGGGCTGACTGCTGGGGTTGGTTTGGCGGTGGGTTTGGGTGACTTACTTGTTGCGCTTGGGGCCCCGGGCAGCCACAGGAAGCCGCGCTCATTGACGGTCCAGCACATGATCCATGTGGCCCACTCATGGGCCACGGGGTGTACGAACAGTGTCCATGCCAATGACTTGAAGGTCCACAACCTGGCCATGGCCCATAGTGTGTTGGTGCAGCCTGATTGGGCGACTCAGGCGGTGGCATGGCTACAGCTTGCGGGACCTGACCCCGCCTTGAGCCTTGCCCCCCTTGAGCCAAGTTCCTCGCCTTCGTCTAAGCCTTTGTCAACTTCGAAGGTTCAGGCTCTTCTTCCTCTTCTTCCTCCTCTTCCTGCACCACTGCTTTCTTCGCTTTCCCTTGGGTCTGTGGTGCCGCCATAGTTTTTCTTTTATCCTCCTTCTCTGCGTCGAGCTGGGCCACCGCGTCCTTTATCATTTTCTTGAAATCGCGTCCATCACTCGTGGTGGCATCCAACGCCTTCCTCTTCTTCTTGGCTTGTCTCATCTGAAAAATATCTACTTGGTCCAGTTCTCCTTCTATCACGCCCTCTTTTATGGCAGCCCAAGTCAGTTTGTTTCCTGGCACAGCCTTCTTGGTTAACGACGAGGCCTCCCAATTTTTAAAGTGCCACAGTAAAGTGGTACACTGTTCCTCTTCCGCCAACCCTGGGACTTTCTTTGCTATCTTCTCGAACGCTGTGGCGAAGGCCCCTACCGTGGAGAACTCATCTGACTCTAGCATCTCCAAGTTTGTCTTAGTTAGCAAGCCATCCCCTAACTTGAATCGCCTTTGCATCTCAGCCTTAAACTTTGCCCAGTCTCCCCCTGCTTCAGCAGCTACGTTCATTACTTCGGGTCAGGTTTCCCACCAGATATATCGAGGTAGGAACTTAAACTTATCGACCTCAGGCACCTTGTTCCAGGAGCTCCAGCCATTTCGACACCCTCTTTCCTTCAAAGTGAAAAATGTCAATCTTTGGTACTTGTAGCCGTGCCAACTCCCTTTTCTCGAGTGCCTTGACGAAGTCCTCCGGTGTAGCAGCCGGACCTCGCTCGATTCCATCGGTGTCCGGCATCTTCACTGCTTTTTGCTAACCAACCTGACAGGAGTAACAAGGGGTAGACCGATAAGCAGTTCGTCAAGTTTCAGAGGAGTTGCCCTACGTCATTCTTGACCATTCTACCCTTAAGTTCAGCTTCCCGCTCTACCATTAATCATTCGTGCCTAAGATACAACCTTCAATCGCAATCTATATCACCTAGTCTTATTATGCTCTTGTACGCAACCCTCTTATGTAAGACAATCCAACCTATAACCTTTGTCGTTTTGCCTAGATCACCAGCCTGCACTTAACTTGGGTTCGTTCTCTTAAGGACCCCGGTAGGCAGCCGAGATCCCCGGCAACGGCGCCACCTGTCGAGCGCATCGGTCCCACACGGGGACCCTCCCGGCCGCGTTACGCAGGATTATGCAGGACTTGTCGCGGAGAGCGTTTGCCGCTCCGGCCGAGTGCGCCAGCCGTACCTCTCGCGAGCCCCTACGACAGGATAGGGTCACGCGAGGCACCACTTACCTCCACCTGCGGGAGCTGTCACGATCCCTTAGGTGGGCGTATCCCCGCCGAGCTACTGAACCACATGCGAAGGCTTTTCGTATGCAATTGCAGAGGTGGCCCAGCCGAGGGTGTTTCTCGCTCGCTGTAGCATAGGGGGTACGCGCAGTCGAACGCCCAAAATCTAACCCGTACGCGAATCGCCGTGCTCGGGGGCTGAAGTCCCAAACGCGACTCGGCGTCGGTCGACTAGGACGCACTACACACACCACGCATTACACCACAATACTCACACTTACCATGCGTAACATACGAAGACACACAAAACAACCACTACAAACAACACTACACCACAACAATACTCCTAGTCCCTTCAGTACCTGACCCATAACTTCATGTAGCACGACTCAGATAGGCATCGCGCGCTGGCTTTTCATATAATAGTCGTGCGAGCACGTGGCCTACTCATATCGACCAGCCACGCGGGGACACGCAAGCATTCGCGCTGATGGGGTACTATGTGGTACTTGTAGCCTCACGGCCCTTGATAATCTTGAGGGTCGCGTTCGATACTCAAGTGTCGGCTGACAGGCGCTTTGAGGGGTAATCTCTCGACGCCAGATAACCGCCATGGGCGGTTGAAGACCACACCCTCTTAGTCTCTGAGGATCCCAAACAGCTCGGCGGTCGCTGGCTAGGGCGAGCGGCCGTACTTTTTTGTGGTTTCCTGCTGATAACCTACTTGTCCCAATGTATGGCATTCGCTTAGAAATCTAAGCGAAGAAGGACTTCGTACTTCGTACCTTCCGAGGTGTTCCAGCACATAGCGAGATTACGAGGCTCATATTCGAACCTCAGGATGCTTTTTGGACTTTATCTTCATCTCTTGTGATTGAGAAATGAGAGATGGACTTTCTTCTTTCTCTCTCCAGATATAATTGAGTCTAGAGAGTGGGTAAGTAAACAAGATAATACGCCGCCGGCCAAATCCAACCATCCCAGCTCTTATCTAGACTGAACCCTTAGCTAATGGGAATTGAAAATTGACGATGGCCCGGTGGGATTGAATTCATTGATTGCTCTAGCTTACTGAAACCTCACGGAGTATAAGTTTTCTTTCCTTCTTTGCTCGATTATGTAATCAATCGCTTATCTTACTTTGCGTTTTACCCACTGTAAGAGTTTGCAGAGGGGTTGAGTAGACAGCTTTAGGCTGTCGTGGCGGTCAAACATCAAGGGGTTTGACTTTGACGGCTGCCACGAACTATAACGTCCAACCATAAAAAATCAAAAAGAAAAAAATCACTCCAATTCTCCTTAGTTTAGTGGCCACCTAGCATGAAAGGTAGGCGGGCCCAATCGACGCGCGTGCGGAGGAGGCCCGAAGTCCTACCCGTAGGCTATCCAATGTCCGGGGTAGTAAGGCCCGTATATGGGCCCCCCATAGGTCGACTGGGACTGATCCTTCGCCCATGTGTCGCTTCGCGCTACCACAAACCCGAATCTATTGGTCGTAGCGCGCTCTTGGTCTCGCCGCCTGACCCATAACTCTTAGTACGAGGATCGGCGAGTGCTGCACGCAAGGACTTAGTATAAGATGGCGCGGATGCAGTACCCATACATACCAACTCACTATGCAGCTCTACAAGAGTATCTGCGATGACGGCTCATTCTGCGGTGCCCATACCCAAATGGCCTATTCTGAGCCATGGAATGTTTCCGACGCTCAGGCGTTGGCTGAAGCGTGCGCTAAGGGGAGGCAACCCTTTAGCGAGCGCAAAACCGGCCTGAGGACCTTACCGTCTTCTGCACCCTGAGGTGCCCCAATGGGTGCGGTGTAAGATGGTCCCTAGGGCAGGAAGGAATTTGGAGCGGTGGTGAGTTGTCTGGCGCACCACCAGTAACACGCTAATCCTTCCGCCCGAAACTTTGTCGTTCCACCAAACTAAAGCCCAACAAGGATAAAACGAGCACCCTTAATATCATTAGGAGGGGCACCGCCGGGGTTGACCTTATGGGGTTATCCGAGCGCACGCCTACTTAGATTATCTCCACAGCAGAACGGGAATAGAACAACCTCACTCAAACACAAAGTTTGTGGGGTAGTTCACTCTCACGATAGTTGTGTGGCTTGCCCATCTGAACCCAAGACACGATCACTCAACATAACTCAGATGATACTCTTCCATACATACCTGCAGTCACATCACAGAATCAAGCAAAAGATCCACACACTACACGGAGTCAGTTCTAACCAACCCCTCCACTCATACCCCTTGCTTTAGCCATGCAAGCCCCAACCTTCAGCCAACCAACCATAATTAAGTACTTAGTACCTCTATTAAATGACCATTCAATAAAAGTTTGGGTGAAAATCACCAGGGCTAAAGTCTTTTAAGGATGAGTATTGATAGTGCATTGGGGTTGAGTCGTAGACCAACGAATCGGCAACCGACCTGTTATCAGTGATAACAGAAAAATGATCCTTTTAAAGGAATAGGCTGATCAGATGAAGCCTCTCAATGACAACACAGAAACTTGCATCACAGTACAGGCCAAAGACGAGTACTACTTATGCATGTGCCAAGGGGAGAACATTCCCCTAGTCGCATCCTAGCGCCTCTATTAGTACTAAGTCACTGAGCATCGACTCTAATCAGGATAGATTTGCTAAGTAGTGCCTAGCTGCAAAATATTCTAACTCCCCAAAGTCTACGAAATTTCGGCAGCGCTTCCCGTAGAAAAAGTGCTCTCCCAGAATTTCTACGAGCCCAAAATGACTAACTCCTTCAGATTTGCAGAAAGTTCGGCGGCGCTTCCCGTAGGAACAGGAGGCTACCAAGATTTATATAGAGCTGAAACTAGAAATACAAGACAGAACTATACTTGGGATTAATTTATGATCTCTGCCTGGTAGCTTAGACTCAACATTAGTTTGCATGCCCTCTAAGTGAGGCCACGAACCAATGCTGATCCTAACCCCCAACAGGTTCAGTCTTATCTCATCCCAAGTTTCCCTCCCATCATCCATCTCAACTGCCTATGGCTCCAGCACTCAACGAGCATCTACAACAACTACTCTATCCAAAAGATGTCCCAAGTGGGAGCACCCAAGCATGCATGCACAAACATCTCTCACAATCCCACATTGATTCAACCACGTAGTTCGTATGACCCCTCAGTTCTAACCTTTTATGTCCCCCTTACTTATGGCATAGGATCAGGCAAGGCCCTAACCTAAGAGTATGCCTGACCTGCCTAAGTAAACAAGTAAGGGTACTCACAATTGGACTGCCCTAACCTAAGGGTATGCCCAACACATGACAAAAACGTATGTCCAGACTGCCCCAACCTAGGGGTGTGCCCAGCACAACATAACCCATAACATACAACATATGACCAAGCCGCCCTAACCTAAGGGTACGCCTGACTTCTGTTTAACTGACGACAAGAAAGCATAAGACTAGACTGCACCAACCTAGGGGTGTGTCTAGCCAGCCTCATACAAAGTTACATATAGCATAGGGTTAAACTGCCCCAACCTAGGGGTATGCTTAACCTGCCTAGCACATACACGAACGACGAATGGTTGGATCGCCCTAACCTAAGAGTATGTCCAACCCACAGAACATCAACGACAAAAGCATATTGCTAGGCCGCCCCAACCTAGGGGTACGCCTAGTTAACTTATAAAGTTTAAGTTACATAAGACAATCTGCCTGAACAAAGTACAACGACGTATGACTAAGCCGCCCTAACTTAAGGGTACGCTTAGCCTCCGTAACGACAGCATAAGAAACAACCATTGATACTTGCACAAACTTTGTGATTTTTCTTTTCTTCTTAGGCAGATAGTCAGACCTACCCAACCTAGGGAGACATCTGACTCTGCTTTGTGTTTAGAAGGGAAAATAAAAGCAAGTTTTATACTAACTCTTTGCCCTTTTTGTTATCATGAGCATATGACTGAGCCGCTCTAACCTAAGGGTACGCTCAGCCTGTCCGAGTTACCTTCCTTATACTCTTCACTTGCTTTCTTTTTCTTTTTATGCTACCTTACTTATTGACTGGCTTTCCCAACCTAGGGTGCCCGATCTGTCAGAAATATAAGTTCAATAGTACATATATCCAAATTTTATACACGAGGTGACACTTTTGTTCATGACCTATGGCTGAGTCGCCCTAACCTAAGGGTACGCCCAGTCTTATGCCTTTGTTCCCTCAGAAAAAACATACACAGAGTTGGGTCTACGCAACCTAGAATATCCCCAGCTCTGCTTTCAGCAACCCACAAAAGAAATATCAGGATTCTGAGACATCCCAACCTAGGGCGTT